GCGCGCTGCTGGTGCGACGGTGCGCTGGGAGTCGCTGCACGGAGCAGCCCGCTCCTGGCCGTCTCCTGGAACGTGCCAGTGCCTCCAAGCGATGGCCCCCAAGTCAGTTGAGTGTCCAAGAGGAGGGCTCGTGGTCCTGGCAGACAGGGCTGTGGTAGCTGCTTCACCCCCTCGCTGCCCCGTAGGCAGCAGCCGAGGAGAGGGATGCCCAGCAGCCCTGCAAGGGGGGGGCCCGCCGCCCGTTCAGATCCAGCCTGGCAGCCCTGCTCTCTGCTCCATCTGCAGCCACCCCCCGGCCCCGGGGGGCCTGCTGGGAAAGCAGATCCCATTCATGTCTGTGGCTTTGTCCCACAGCCAGGTGTTCCGGGTTGTCTTTGGCAGGGGTGCGGGGTCAGTGTGTGGGCCCAAACCCGATAGTTTATGCAAGAGAGAGGTGCGTCCCGCCTGCCTGCCCTGCGGCACCGAGATAAGCCGTGTTGACAAGGGCCTTTTGTCAGCTCCTCTCCCCAGCGTGACATGTCACAGGGGCCAGGTGCTTGTCACCTGCCCAGGCACAGCCGACAGTGCCTGAATGAGGCATCTGAAGATAAGGCGCGTGGGTGGGGACAGGGGGAGGCAGCCTGCCTTACCGCCCGTCCTCCGTCCTCCCACCACAGGGCCAGGGTCCGGCTCCAGACCTGTCCCAGCACGTGTGTCCCCCATACATCGCCACGGGGCGCTCCTGGCTCGGCTGCACGCCCAGGGGCTGTGGGGCTGGCCTGGGCTCGCCGGCCGCCAGGGACGACTCCTGAGCAGGCTGCGGGGGCACGGGGGTGAGTGCTGCATGTCTGTGGGGCGCTGGGCCCCCCTCCGGGCTGCCTGGTGGGACTGTGGCTCCAGAGGGGGGACCTGGGGTGCAGCAGCCCCCATGGTGGGCGGTCCCCGGCGGTGGCGCTTGGGGCCGCACGCTGGGGTCAGCCTGGCCTGGAGCTGCTGCCCCTGGGTGACGCGGCAGCCGGGTGCCTGCCCTGCACAACTCACCCAGTTTAACAGAAACCTGCCCTGTGCCAGATTTTCTGGGCTGTTCTCAGCATCTCAGTTACCAAGGTGACTGTTTCCTGTGCGATCGCTAATGCTTCATGATCTCGATCATGATATCCGAGTGCCTTCCTTTTCTCTGTAAGGAGCTGTAGGACCTGCTCCTAGCTGGGGCTGCCCAGACCCCTTTGGAGGTGTGGAGGATTCAGGTCAGTTTGGGTTCTGCTGCTTTTGCTTTTTGCTCTTGACCCGGCCTTTGCATTGCTCTTGACACGGTCCCGTGCACGCGGGGGACAAGAGCGTATTGTTTTTTACAAATGACCGAAGCCGAGATGAGCCACGATTCACTTCTCACCTTTTCTCCTTGGTGGAAGTCTCTCTCCTGAAACCTGAAACTGGGCTGATGGATTTTCCTTGTGTTGCTGCTTTCCAGGCAGCTTCTCCGTCAGGCTGCTGCACGCTGGCCTGGGGCTGCAGCCCCTGCGACACGGGCTTCGCGGGAA